TCGAATTTTGAGACGTACTTGGCGTTTCCCAGCTCGTCGATGCAGTCCTTGAGGAGGGGCAGCGGGTAGGCATCCACAATGGTCACCTTGTTGAGCTGCAGATAGTCGGTGCACAATCGCCAGGAGCCGTCTGGTTTGGGGACCAAAAGGCAGGGCGAGCACCAATAGCCCTGGTTCGGCCGGATGAGGCCGTGCTGGAGCAGGAATTTGACCTCTTTCCGTACGATGGCCTTCTTTTCTGGACTCATCCGGTAGGGTTGAAGGCGAATGGGGGTGTAGTCCGTCAACTTGACATCATGGTAAATGGCATCAGTCTGGGTCGCGACCTCCCCAAACAGACTGGAGAATTCATCAAGCAACGACTGCACCTCTTCACGATGGGCCATCTGCAAATGGGACAGTCCCTCCTCCACAGCATTCACAGAACTAGAATTATTGAGAATGAGATTAGTTGGGTCCCCAGGACAATCATCCCCTCCCTCACTGGAAATGGAAACATTGGTTAGTGCAATGGGCCTGGGGCCCTGGAACTTCTTCAGCCGATTCAAGTGTATGAGCATTACCTGGTTACGCTTGTCAGAGTGCCTCACTTTGTACGTGAGGTTCCCAGTCTTTTCTGTCACAATGTAGGGGCCTTCGTACTTGTGGGACATAGTGTTCTCTAGTCAAGGCTTTAATACCAGGACAGGATCGCCAGGCTGAAATACCTGCAACTTAGCCTTAGCATCGTTTCGTTCTTTCATCTTTTCTTGGGCCTTACCAAGATACTTTAGTGCCGCCGCCTTGCAGTCCTTGAGTCTCTGGTGGTGTTGCGCAAAGAAAGCCGAACCTTCGGTTAACGTTATGTACCCTAACAGATTCTCCTGTAACATTTGCAAGGCTCCACGAACTTTATGGCCAAAGACTAACTCAAAAGGAGAACAACCCAGTGAGCTTTGTAACCCTCTCTAGCAGCAAACAAAACACACAGCAAGTTCTCATCCCAGAAGGTGTGGGAACTCTCACACGATATCTTCAACATCTGCTTCAGAGTTAGATGGAACCGTTCAATTACCCCCTGACTCTGCGGATGGTATGGGCTGGAAACCTTATGAGTTATTCCATGGTCCTTACAGAATTGCTCCAAAATATCAGACTTAAAGTTAGTACCATTGTCGGTTTGCACAACCCGAGGCAGTCCAAAAGTGGAAAAAAATTGCAACATACGAGCAACAACAGTCTTTGCTCGGATGTTCCTTACAGCAAAAGCCTCTGGGTAACGGGTCGTGATACACATCACCGTGATTAGGTAAATATTACCAGACTTAGTTGTAGGTAATGGGCCTACACAGTCCATTACCACATGAGAAAATGGTTCCTCTGGCACGACAATAGGCCTTAGAGGAGCTTTAGGTGGAGTCTGGTTTGGTTTCCCAACAAGTTGACAAGCAATACATGCATTACAAAATTTTGCCACATCGCTTTTCAGCTTGGGCCAGAAAAAATACTTTAAGATTTTGTGATATGTAATATTAATACCTTGATATCCTCCCATAGGATCATCATGAGCAGCTGCCAAAACTCTTTCTCTATAGCAGGTCGGCAACATAACCTGGTGGACTACCTCCCACTCATTTGACAAGGGAGCACTCTGTGGTCTCCATTTTCTCATCAAAATCCGATCATTGTAGTAGTACCCAGTTGCTGCGTCTACAATTTCCTCCTTAGAGGTGGCTAACTCACTCAAGGAGGCATCCAGGCCTTGGTCAGATGCCATTGGCCGTGGCTCAACAGTGTTCTCCTCCACCTCCTCACTACTCTCAGTAGGCGGCAGTGGCAGGCTCTCCACAATGTCCTCGGCCACGTCATCGAGTCGGGCCATGAATGTGTCCGCAAGGTCCATTTGGCTTTCACCACTCGGAATGTTCGTGTCCTCGGGATTTACCACCTTGGCAAGCACAGGGCTGCCCTTACATTTAAGTCCTCTAGACCGGGTCACCGCGCACGCAGTGTACACAACATTATCCTCTGCGGCGGGTGGATCCAGGGAAACCTTAGGGGTATGCAACATAATAGGCAGTCTGGAGTCCCCTACCTTATCCCCTGCTAAATCATTACCCAATATTACATCAACATTAGGGAAAGGTAGGTACGAAGTGACTCCGACTGTACAAACACCCTTGTGGAAATCAGATTCCAGGGTAACCTTATGGAGGGGTACTGCTCGAGTATCACTAGTGACACCCTCAACCAGTACCACCTCTTCAGTGTCGAGAGTGTCGGCACCTTGCAAAGCACTCTCTAAAATTAAAGTCTGGATGGCACCGGTGTCTCGGAAGATCACCACGTCCTTCCAGGAAGAACCCTCAGACAAAAGTAGTCTCCCTTTCGATAAAAATGAGGTAAGCAAGTCCAACCATTGTGGGTTGGAGGTCTTACTCCCTAACCCTTCGGAAGGCCTCAAGCCCTGTGTCACAATGAGAGCATTGGGTCTTTTTTCCGGGTACAGTTGCCAACAACAGCTAGTAATGTGGTTTGGACGTTTACAGTGACCACAGATACGTCGGGGAGAAGAGACATTACTAACAGGATTACCCTTCGGTTCATCCGTAGGTGCCGTGGGGCTAGACACTTTAACAGGGTTAGTTATGTCTGAAACAGAAGGTGCAGTAGTTAAAGGGTTAGAATGACTGGTCTGGACTGGCTGTGGGTATAAGTTTTGCTACTCTGTGGGGTATAATTATTTTTATTGAGCCGTTTGCCCGCCAACTGGTAGTTTTCTGCCATCTTGGCCAAATCCCCTATTTTAGAATCTACCTCTATCCTTCCTCTAATATAATGTGCTACATTCTCTGTCATATTATCTATAAACTGTTCCATTAAAACTAAATTCTTCAGTGCCTCGTATGTTTCGGCTTTAGCCGAGCGAATCCATTTATCAAACAATCTAATTTGATCATTGGCAAATTCAGTGAGCGGTTGGTTGTGAGTAGGCCTAAGGTTGCGATAAGCTTGGCGGTGAGCTTCAGGAGTAATTTCTTATGCCCTTAAAATTCGTTCCCTGACTTTATCATATTCAAAACACTCGTCGTCAGGCATGTTTATAAAAATATCTTGGGCCTTACCCCTAAGTCTTCCCTATATGATTTTCACCCACTCATCCTTTGGCCAGTTCATGGACGTGGCCAATCTCTGAAAATGGTTGAAAAACCTTTCAGGGTCCGACTCTGAATATTTAGGCAAGTTATGCTTTTTCTCATAATGCCTGGGGTTTGAATCCTCGGCAGGTGGAGGTCCAGTGGCATTCGCTCTAATTTTAGCCTCCTCGGTTTTGAGTCTTTGCTCTTCTAGTCTTATTTTTGCTAACTCTAGAATCATCTCTCTGTCCCTATGAGCTGCACTTTCCGCTTGGCTAGGTTGGCATAAAGGTGTATCATCTGGCAATAGTTCTTGATCCATGCAATGTTGTAATATTTCATTCACCAAAGTCCACTTTTTATCCACGTTATTTAACTCGAGGCCAAATTCCTTGCCTAACAATAGTAAATTAGACTTGGTAAGCTTCTTGATCTCTACCACTGAAGGATTCCCTGCCAGTTCCTGCATTTTAGCCTCCATCACTTATTAATTTAGCTCCTAGACAAAAAAAAAGTTAAAAATAAAAATTGGAAAAAACAAACTATTACAAACCCTAACACAAGGCTACACTACTCTGTACAAACTATCCTTAATTAGATGAGCTGAGCCATAGGCTAACACACAACCGTTCTGCGGAAAACAAGAATTTTTAGTTTTGGCACTCAAAAATTTAATTTTTTACAATTTACTGTTCCTCCCGGTCTGGCCAACCACTTGTTATAAATAGGAGTAAGTTCTATGGGGGATCTAGCATTAATTTAGAGTAGGGTCAGTAGTTAGCATTAAGAGGTATCCAGTGCTGGAGATTTTCAAGGACCGGCCCCCAATAAATATAAAAAGTAAACTTATAGTGGCTTATTACTGCAATTGTCAGCCTAGAGGTCGATCATAGTAGATCTTCCTACACAGGAAGAATGGATACTCCTTTAACTAACTTACTTATTTATTAACCCCTTAACAACCCCCCATATACATTCACACCAATAACAATAATTACTTTACCACACTATCTTACGTTACAAGCCTTGGTCCACATAAGCAGGATACAAGGTTTACACTGAGAACAAGCTAGGGTAAAGTACTACTAGTGAAAAACTGAAGCTTGAGGCAGCTTAGGGTAGTGGGACCACGTGGTACCCTAATACAACACAACACAACACTTAGGGGTACCCAAAACACTGGCAAATACTACCCCAGGTCTACACCAATCTTTCACTACCAGAGTAGGCACACTTAACAACACCGTACTTAACTTAGTGGTTACAGGAACTTAAGGTAAGGGAAATAAGTAAGAGGAAAGGTAGAGGAGTGCAGAGAGGCTGCAGCCACAGTCCTTGACCCCCTGTAACGCCAGTCAGAGAAGACCGCATCCAGCGACCAGATCAGGGCTCCCGCCTTGTGTGGTGCCGGGAGGAGCCTAATTGATCGTGCAGCTAAACACATTAAAAATCTTCCCTTATGCATCATATTGTTACTTTACTCGTTCTCAGGATAGTTAATCTTATAACAATGTTATACTTAATCCACAACAAGCTCAAGAGTCTGAATGCTTGTGAGCAACAAGATTCGTCCTACGTTTGGCAGGGAAGATACGAACAAAGACATGTCGACTTTTGTCTGGCTAATCTAACGTAGCTTATTTAGTTCAATTTGACCTCTGGTTTCTACTTGAGGAACCCAGGGTCGTAACACCAAACCATTGTTCCTCAGCCCATATTGTCTCATTCCTTGTTGCCAGTTATGCACTCACCACATCCCTAAGCCATTTATATATTTTGCGAGTTTGAGTCACGTCATTATGGAACGACATTTAATAAGATCAACTCAGCAAGCTTGGGGTCCTCTTGGAGGGTACAATATTTGAGATAGTGTTGCCCACGACGGATGATCAAGCATACAGCAGGAAGGTCACACAAGCCATTATCTGGCAGCCATGCTCCCTGGGCCCAAGTATCAGGGAGGAGCGGGCAGCAGTGTGGCGGTAGTGGCTCTCTCGAACACATATAGGCTCCAGCTCTTCCTGCATTACAGTGTAAGCTTTATATTTTACCAGAAAACATGTTTGTGTGTTTTTACGTAACAATTCTTACCTCCAGTGTCTATGGGGAGGGTGTTAGGTCTAGCTCGTTATGGTCCACTACCAGCCTTGTTGTACCTGTTGCGTTACAATTGAACCATTCTGTTGTTCAAATTCTTTGTCGAATCCGTCCTTAAAATTATGGATGTAGGTGGATTCCACAACACACAGAAATCACAATAGCGTGATGCATCAAATGAACAAATCCACAAGGTTCGTGACGAGGGTTCCAACCTACGTCCGAGAGGATCCCATGCAGACGCCCCTTAATCGACTGAGCTACGACATGGTAAAAGAATTGCAACAGGGAGTTCAAGCTGAAAATTGTGAGGTCAAGTTGAACTCCCGGTTGCAATTCTTTTTATCACGTCATAGCTCAGTCGATTAAGGCGCGTCTGGGATCCTCTCAGACGAATGTTGGAACCCTCGTCACGGCCCTTGTGGATTTGTTCATGTGGATTCCACAACTTTTCCTTTCAGTGGGAGTGTGCGTATTTACTATTTGTGTCTACAGAATCGAGCTATTAGCTCTTGGATCCCACCATTCTTACCAATCAATTTTTTCTCTATTATGTCTTCTTCATATAGTTCTCTCTACCATTCGCGCACACACACACACACACACAAACTGACTTCATACACAGTTTCAAGTGTAGATATGACAGAGCCCGATAGGCTCAGGAATCTGTACACCTGTTGATTGACGGTTGAGAGGCGGGACCAAAGAGCCAGAGCTCAACCCCCGCAAACACAACTAGGTGAGTACAACTAGGTGAGTAGCCTGGTGGATAGCGCGCAGGACTCGTAATTCTGTGGCGCGGGTTCGATTCCCGCACGAGGCAGAAACAAATGGGCAAAGTTTCTTTCACCCTAAGTGCCCCTGTTACCTAGCAGTAAATAGGTACCTGGGAGTTAGTCAGCTGTCACGGGCTGCTTCCTGGGGTGTGTGTGTGTGGTGTGGAAAAAAAAAAAATAGTAGTTAGTAAACAGTTGATTGACAGTTGAGAGGCGGGCCGAAAGAGCAAAGCTCAACCCCCGCAAAAACACAACTAGTAAACACACACACACACACACACACACACACACACACATATTTCCATGACGCAGCCCGTAGCAGCTGTATAACTCCCAGGTATCTATTTACTGCTAGCTAAACAGAGGCATCAGGGTGAAAGAAATTCTCCCCATTTGTTTCTGTCTCGGCTAGAAATCGAGTCCGGGCCCTTGTAGTCCAATCCCCGAGCGCTGTTGCAAATTGTTGCAAAATGTTGTAGATCACTGACTGAACAAGGGGGGTCATGTTGCAAGTTGTTTCAATGCAGTTGCAAAACATAGAAAACGGGAATGTTGGAAATGAACGAAGTTGAAAGGGAAAATCTTAATCGACTTGAGAATGGTCCAGGACGGACCGAAACGTCGTCGTCCCTTCAACTTCTAGTGTGTGGTCTGGTCAACATACTTCAACCACGTTATTGTGACTCATCGCCTGCAAAATCTTAATGTTTCGTACAGTCTTCAAAATATTTCGTACAGTGATATTTTCAAAATGTTTCATACAGTGATATTTTCAAAAAGTTCCGATCAGTGAAAATAATTGTATTTCATCAATGAATTTTTCACTTACAGGTAGGAAGTTTTTATTTTCAGGTAGGAAGTTCCTCACAGATATGACGTTTCAATATATAAATATATATTTCGTAGAGAACAAAGATAACGGGAATAACAAAGTAAATCGTAAACAACGAGATAGAGCATTAGATCATTCACTCTAATCATTAGATTACAAATGATTAGAGTAAATGATATGGTGAGTAATTCGAGGGCGTATCAGTGAAATTAAGAGAGAGAGAAGATACGCATATCAGTGCAAGCATGAAATAACATTTGTTTATGAATACTATCCAGAACAACTAAGTAAGTAAAGGAATTAACGTGAGTGACACTCTCCTCCCAGTCTACGCTTTAAATAATCCATCATGTTCCATCTTTATCTAAAATAGTGTTATTGCATTGAAAGATTAAAGTGAGATACTACTACCGCTATTCGCATCCCTTGTGATCCTTCCAGCCCTCTTACATCTATTAGTGAGTCATAGGTGTTGGTAGGCAAATGTAGATTGTCGACGCAAGCGTTAGCTTGTGAGAACACTGTTTATCCTATCGAGCGAGCGTCCTCCACCACTCCTGCGTATCTAATGACAACCGTTGGATCTAAACTGTTCATCTGTGTCCGCAGAGAAATCCAACTCATGTGTCTGTTCTAGTAATTGGAGCTTTACTCTACATACGAATAAATATCATCATATATACTATATAAATAAAGAAAGGCAGACAAAAATATACAGGAGATAGGAGTATAAGAGAGAGAGAGAGAGAGAGAGAGAGAGAGAGAGAGAGAGAGAGAGAGAGAGAGAGAGAGAGAGAGAGAAAATAAACTACAACTGTAAGGTTAGGTTAAAGGAAAATATTTAAAAAAATACCCCATGACAATCGCATAAAGATTAGAAAAGGTTAAGGCAAGAGAAAATATAGCCCAGGAAAATATACCATTCACAATAAACAGAGAGGACAATTCAATGGAAAACCAAGGTATTAGAAGGACATATCGCTCAAAGAATGGATGAAATTATGTACTAAACAAAATAACTTTACCTCTAATACTTATAAAATGAGACACGTGAAAGAATCCTGATGAACGTTAGTAAAAAGTGCACAGGTGTGGGTGAACAATTGACTTTACCTTTCATCCTTTAAAAGGCTGAGATGTGAGTACTAAAATGTGCTAAATTGCATGAAGAAACATAGTGACAGTCGTGAATGACCCGCAGAAGCTGGCCGCAACCCATCCTCCTGTTTAAATATTGTGTCAATAGTCAGGATTGTGTACGTACTTAGCTTTTAGATAGTAGTATACTGACTAGTAAGGAATTCTTTTAAAATAAATGAAGCTAAAACACAAACTTAAATACTCCTAGGCCTAGTACAGGACAAATATATACTATATTTGGCCTCAAATATCGTGTATTAGACCTTGGAAGGTTAGATTAGTTTGTCAAAACAGCATGGGTATATAATAGTTTTCCGGTTTGTCCAACTCAATAGTTCAGATTTCTAACTTCTAATTTCGTTGTACGTCGGTATATAATCTCTGGTTCTCATCGTTGCTATAAGTACTACCAAAACAGGAGGATGGGCTGCTGAATAACAATTGTTAAGATGTGTAATAAGGGAATAACATAAACTAAGGTTAAGGAAGGGTCTCAAGCTTCCGGCCTCCTTCTGTTGGTATTCGTTGTAAACATTTCTTGTTTCCATCCCTCAACGTATTTTAAACGTCTGTATCATGTCCACTCTCTCTCCTTTCCCCCTCCTCATTTCTAAAGTTGCCAGGTTTAGTTCATTCAGTCTCTCTTCGTACCTCATCGTTCCAGCTCTGGAACAAGTCTCGTTGCAAACTTCTGCACCGTTTCGAGCTTTTTATATTTTTTTCGGTGGGGCTCCATGATGGAGCGGCATACTCTAAGACTGGCCTCACATAGGCGGTATAGTGTTCTAAAAGCCTCCTTATTCAAGTTTCTGAATGACGTTCTGACTTTTACCAATGAAGAATTTGGTGCTGACGTTACTCTATTTATATGACCGTCTGGAGTCAGGTTTGGTGTTATGTCCACTCCCAGATCTTTTTCTCTAGTCGTTATAGCTGGGTAGTTTCCCTTCAAGGTGTATTGACCTTTCAGTCTCCAGGCTCCTGATGCCATTTCCATCACAATACACTTGCTGGTGTTGAACTATAGCAGCCATTTCTAGGACTAGCTCTACAACCTGTTCAAGTCATTCTTAATAATCTTACAATCCTCATCTGTTTCAACCCTTCTCATTAGTTTTGTATCATCTGCAAACATCGACACATAAGACTCAACTCTTGCAGTCAAGTCATTTACATAAATGATGAAAGTATGGGAGCCAGCACCGATCCTTGAGGCACCCCGCTTGTCTCTCTACAGCAGTCGGACTCCTCACCCCTCACTGTCACTCTCCGACACCTGTCTGTTAGGTAATTCCCTTTCCATGTTAATTATGACTTTCTGACTACTCCCGCCTGCCTCTCAAGTCTGAATAGTAACCTCCCGTGTGGTTCAGTATCAAAGGCTTTTTGGCAGTCCAGAAATATGCAGTCTGCTCTGCCTTCTCTGTCTTGCCTTATTTTCGTTACCTTATCATAAAACTCCAGGAGGTTCGTCAGCCCTGAGTTCCCTTCTCTAAAGCCATGGTGTTGTTTGCTTACAGACATACTTCTTTCTAGGTGTGCAACTAGTCTTAACCTAATAATTCTTTTAAGTACTTTGAAAGGGATTCTTGTGAGTAACACTCGTCTGTAGTTAAGTGCCTCTTTATTTTATTTTACTTTATTGTATATTGACACCACATTTGCCTTCTTCCAGCAGCTGGGCAATACTCCTGTTGTAAGTGACTCATTAAAGATTAGTGCTAGACGTATGCTGAAGGCCTGTGCTGCTTCTTTTAACATCCATGTTGATATTCCGTCTGGCCCAGTAGCTTTTGTTACATCCAGTGATGCTAGTAGTATTCTTACTCTGCTATTACCAAAATATTTAGTAGTTTCTCTTCAAGGGCTGCTTCCTCATCTAGTTCTGGGTGTGTGTGTGTATGTGTATGTGTGTGTGTGGACTCACCTAGTTGTCCTTGCGGAGGTTGAGCTCTGGCTCTTTAATCCCGCCTCTCAACTGTCAATCAACTGGTGGACAGATTCTTGAGTGTGCGTGTGTGTATAGGGATAGCGGAGGGGGGGGGGGGGCTGAAGAATCTTGGACTCTGTCTCTGCAGCCTCCGTTCACGTTATAACTCACGACCGTTCACCTTATAACTCACGACCGTTCACGTTATAACTCACGACCGTTCACCTTATAACTCACGACCGTTCACCTTATAACTCA